TTGGTTTTTCCCCCGCAAATATTGCAACGCAGCAGCAGCCATAAGGTGACCATGCTCACCACCTCTTGCACCTCAAAAATAATGAGACCTCCCTGAAAATAAGACCAAGTGCATATTTTGGGGGTCAAAAGAAAATGTCTTATTTTCGTGGAAACACAGTACCCATTCACAAGAGATAATTACTGTTGGCCTTCGAGGAGGAAGAGGAGGTGACAACTTCAGGGAGAAAAACCAACAACCCAGTTAATGGTGATTGTCATCATTGGCACAGAATGAGGATCAGTTGGTGGGGGAAAGGAAGAGATAATAAAGAAAAAACAACAACTGAATAGACTGAGTACAATGCTTCCAATCCTGAATAGACGTACTCCAAGTAATATGCTTTTTAGAGCAATTGCACGTGGGTTGCAAAAGTCCACACCACCACAAGAGGGCAGCAAACTCATATATAGTTCTCATCAAAATTTTTACATTCAAATATTCTGTGCTTTGCTAGATATGGAGCTAGTGGCTAGATAAATTCTATACTTGGAGAAAAAAAAACCAATTTAGCCTTTTCCAGAAATCACCTAGACTAAAAGAAGGCATGAATTACACTATCTGAATTATTGCCTTAAAAAAATGGTTGACAATCACAAATGACCCTTTAGTTTAGAGGCTTTTTGATTATGTTTAGTAGACATGTGAATACTGTACACACCATTGCTTTCATTGCCTTCAAGCAAACCTGATCTCTTTCTTTAAAGGTAAGAGAGCAAAGTCTCTACGATCCCTGCTGCTGAAACCTTTTGTGAAACCCCTAATCTCATGAGAGGTCTTGGACAGTTTTCCTCACCTTCTGTTGGGAAATCTTTGTGAGGAAGTTGAGCTCTATTTACTGAGACAGCCAGAAGAGGTGGAGTAGGAGGGGAAAGATAGTGACTAGGATATGCAGAGTCATTTAGGTTATTCCCATCAGCCTAGGATCAAATAAAATGTGTCAATGTTCAATTTTATTTTTACAATATAAGAACTCCGGGGCTGAAAAAATCATAACACGTACAAAAAGAAACAAGAGGGGCCTTTATGACAAGCTTGACAGAAGATGAGCCAAACCGTAGGAAGCATTAGTAAATAACTTTGCCTGAGGGTGTTTAGAGCCAGCCCTGAGATCATGTGTAAGTGCATCTTGCATTACAGCAAACTTTTTCATTTGAATCATCTCTCAAACCTTAAGAGTGCCTAATCTACTTTAGATTTTGAATGTAGTCCAAAGGGTTTTAGTCCTAAGCAAACAGATATAGGCTCATTCTGTCCTTATCTGATACTTTATTATATCTTGTATTCTTTATTATATATTGTATACCTCTATTACATACAGAAAGAGACAGTACTCACTGCTTGTAATGTATGTCCTACTTCAAAAACACTGCTTTCAAAACAATACAAAATTGGCTAGATATGAAATGATTAATCACACAAATTATATGTAATTATAGTAAACCTTAATAAATCTTAAGTCAAAATTAATTCATCCCAAGAGACAGAAATGTGTTAACACACATTTTAACCAACTCAGCTCAACTCCCCTGAGAACATACCTGATTATTCTGCACAGCAGCAGTCTTGGTCATTCCAGGATGTTGTTGGCTACAGATGAAATCAAGGTAACAGCTACATTAGAAATAAACCTCTGATTAAACTTGTTGGGGTTACAAGTTGCTTTGATTGAGTTATTAATCTGAAAATTAGGATAGTGAAATCAGACTGGAAGAGCCTTTTGGTAACAAACTGGATTAACAGCAAGTATTCTAAAGGTGCACTAACCTCACATACAGGAAATTAAGCTTGGTGAACTAGTTCTGATACTTAATTATACTTATCTGAAAGCTAATTAAAGAGCTAGCTTTTTCCATTATTGAATATGTTAGAAGTTCTTAATGTGATGTCAATGATTGACACTGAATACTGTCAGCAGAAATAGTATATTTATTTCCTTACCTCCTCTTCTTGGGTGAGTATGTTATGTCTCGGTCTTCCAAGGATTTTGAGATTCCAGAATCAGCAGTAGTAGTATGCCTTCCATTTCCAATCCCTGTCAAATTCCCTCCATTTTCTGCATTTGTGTCCAACATGAGAGAAACCTCTTCTGCATCAAAGGTCAAAATATTACCTTGCCTGTACATGAATGTGTATGCACATATACAAATAGAGGAATGCAGAACTTTTACTTTTGAAAATTGCCAACTAACAGCCTTAATACAGAGTAACATTGGCTACTTTTTGGTAGTCATCAAACAAAAATACTTCCAATATTTTGAATAAATGAGATTCCAAACTCCACATACTTTCTGAATTTGGATGCTTTTGCAGCTATAGTTAAGATCTCATCAGATACATGCTATCCACATCATCAACATCCCAAGATCACAAACATACTGTGGTGTTATATGCTCCCTTCCCAATTACATTGGTTGTCTTGTAGTTTTCTGTCACTCTAGTCATAGTTGTGACATGAACCAGACAGCTCTGGTTAATTCTAAACCCCAAACTACACCCCAAACTAGTTTGGCCCCCAAACTACAAAACACAATCTCAACTCTCCGATTGAAAGTTAAATGTAATCACATTTTTGCTCTGTTTTGATATCACTGCCAGCAATTATTGGAGAAGAGAGAACTGTGGCTATTTCCAGTCCTCTAAGCAGCAATGATTTTAATTAGATGTGGTATTTTACAGGCATTTTACAAGAGAACTAGACTAACGTTAATATTTTCCTCTTGATTGTATGATGTTGCTCTCAGATTGTTCCCAGTTCATGATTTAAACAATCATCTATAATTAGTTTGTATACCAGTAGTTAGCCCCCTTAATTTAACACTCCTGCAATGCAACTTCAAAATGTGTAATATAATACTTTGCTCTCTATTAACTTATATGTGAAGTAAATGAAATGACAGTACACAAAGCATGTTTGGGGCAAATTGGAAGGTGCCTGCATAGCCCCTCCATTCTGGTCTGGTCAGATCACCAGATGGCCATTTCCAAAGTAGGATAGAATGAATGATCTGGACAACCAATGTTATGATGGCATTGTTTTCTGCCAAATCACAAAAGGATGGTTTAACTCAATGACACATAAAACCTGATGTGTGAACCTGATCCCCAACCTGGTATAAGATGAGGTCTTACAGTTCCTCCAAAAAGCATCTACTAACTGCAATGCACTTATCCAACTGAAGTAAAAAACTGGTTTCAGCCTGCTTTTGAGGTAATTTTTCACCGGAAAGCCTCCTGAAGGTTCTTGAAGGCTCTGGAGGACGAAAAACGCCCCTACAGACAAACCAGAAGTCACTTCCGGTTTGCTCGTAAGGTCGTTTTTTGCCTTCCGGAGCCTTCAGGGAAGCCTCCTGAAGGCTCTGAAGGGCTAAAACTGGCCCTACGAGCAAACCAGAAGCCTGTTCCCAAACTTCCAGTTTGCCCATAGGGCCGGTTTTTCGGAGGGTGAGGGAGGCTGTTTTCGCCCTCCCCATGCTCCTATAAAGCCTCTGGAGCCTGAGGATGGCAAAAAAGCACGCCAAAACCAGGGAGAAGCGCTGGTCGTGCGCACATGCATGGTGGGGTCGTGCGCATAGCATTATGGGTGTGGCATGCTCGCGCATGACCCTCCCCCACGCTCCTCCCACTTTTGGCACACGAGCCAAAAAAGATACGCCATCGCTGCAATAACGTATACCTTTTGTCTTCTGTGAAATGTGACTTAGTGGAAACTGGTTGTTTTCCTCCTTTTCATGGTTCTGATCTATCTTTGGAGATGCAACTGTCTTTCTGTATTTTTCATCCTTTCCTGGAATATTATGCATTTCTGGGGGTGAAGAATCAGTGTTTTTCTGATACATTTTCACTGCTGCTGATTTCTTTGTAGGATGCTGTTTTGATGGAGCAGATTCTGTTTTGTCAATGTTACAACTGATTTTGCCTGAAAATGACACAATATTATATATATAATATGTATATGTATATATATTAATATACATAGATTGACATACACAGTATTGTAAACTTCAGAAATCACTTTTTACTTTCTAATATAGAAAGTATATACATTTATATTTATAATTTAAAGAAGACATGATATTAATAAAATGTAAGACAAATCTTTTAAATATCCTATTTTCTAGAATATATGTTAGAAACATATCAGATCAGATTAACAAACAGACAAATATATGTTTACAAATATATGTATATATGTTTATGTTTCTTTTGGCATGTTCTCATCATACACTAAATAGTAATAATAATAACCGACAAGATCAAAATCCAAGATGCTTATGTAACATGGCAGAGATGTTGGACACTGCCATAAATTGATATAAATTATATAAACATAAGGCAATCCAAAAGTTCCATTGCTCACTAATTGACATGTTGCTAGAAAATCCTTAGATACCCAATGTTCCAAGAACTCATCTTAATCAATTATCTTTGTGCTACAAATGTAACAATACAAAATTTTAGAAATTGAAACCAAAGAAAGCAGAACAGGAAATATTGCTATAGATTTAATAGCAAAACTAGATATATCTTGTTTGAAAAAGACTCTTCTTCCGATTAGTGCAAAACAACATTCATTATCTTATTTTTAATTTGACTTTTATAGCTTTCTATTTAAATTCTAAAGTCTCACCTTTCCTTTGTTGTGAACTACTTTTTCCTTGAATAATTTGATTCTTTTCTTGCTCAGAGCTTTGCTTTTTATGTAGAACTGGAAAAATTTCCTTTTCATTCCTCTCACCAAGACCAGCTTTTTCCCAAGTTTGACTGAGATTGTTTTTGAAGGAGCTATCCAACATTGTTGAGTTTGGATAAATATCAGGATTTGGAGAAATTAAACTATGCGGTCTTTCATATGATACAGATGTAAGCACATATTCTGGATTATTTTGGTGTTTCTCTGGAGTGGGTGACAAAGATGAATAAATATTTTCTATTCCTGGTAACAAATAAAGTTCTGGATGAAATGCCTGCAGTGTGGAACATGATAGAAAATAAATAAGAACTAAGAATTTTAGTTTTCTTCTTAAAACTGAAATAATAATATACTGTACATACATACGGAGGAGCAAATGATTTCAGCTCCAGTTCCATCTCTTGTTTTGCTTTCACCTTGAAAGATTACAAGAAAGATAATATTATCAAAATGCTTTCATCATCCCATCACCTTTATTTAAAGAAATAGGGAAAAATTCCAATTTCACATGAATAAAAATACAATTTTGCCTCATTCTTCTGAAGTTCTGTAAAACTCCAACATCTACCAGAAACAATGGTTTTGTAGCAGACATCTTTTCTTCTCCAGTAAAGCATGTCCCAATCATAAAACATTAGTGGTTTAAATGTCATATTCAAGAGTTAGCAAAAAATCATAGATGATATAAAGGATATTTATATACGATTGTATTTGTTTGCTTAGAGAGACATTTTTGTATTATTCCATTTTATTGATTTTTAATTTTAATTTTCATAACATTTTTTTTCTTTTCAATGTGATTGTCTTATACATTGTTTTGTGTAACTTTTATCCTTTCTTAAAGAAAAGTATTTCATAACACTTGTTAAAAGAAAATACTTTGGAAAACTTTAAACCCAGTATAAGTAGAATTAAACAAATGTTTACTCATATAGATATAGCTACAGAGTTGCTTTGCAAATTATGCAGCAATTTCAACATTCTCAGAAGGATACTTACATTTGTAAAAACCCAATTGAAATGTATAAAAATAAATGACACCTTCAGAGAACCCTAAGGCATGTGTTTTCAGCAAACTTGTAGATTGGGAACATATCTTTGAACTTGAAAAATGTCTATTCCCAACTCTTTCCCCCTCTCTTGAAAGAGTTTTTCCTATATAGTTTAGTTTGCCTTTGATTTGTATAGTTTAGCTGAAATGTTTAATGAAAAGAAGGAATAGGGGTGACATAATAGCAATGTTCCAATATCTCCGGGGTTGCCACAAAGAAGGAGAGTGATGCTATTCTCCAAAGCACCTGAGGGCAGGACAAGAAGCTATGCATGGAAACTAATCAAGGAGAGAAACAACCTAGAACTAAG